CCTATGACCCAAACACTTCCCATTAGGCCCCACACCTCTCAACAGTACCACACTGGGCATGAGGTTTGGTGGGGACAAACAAACCATATCTAAACCATAGCAGTTATACAGCATCGTAATAACATGAACACCCATGAACCTATCATGCAACTTAAGAGCTGTCACTCTTTGTCTGATACCTTTGAAGTGACCTGTGTGCCTCTACTCATCCCCTCTCCTCTCGACCCCTAGCAGGATCCATCATTTTGAATTTTGTGTGTATCATTCTCTTGGTTTTATAAAATAGCTTTACCAAATAGGTAAATATCCTTAACATTTTAGTTTTAGTTTGCTTTTTGAGCTTCTATAAAATGGGGTCAATCTTCTATACACAATTCTGTGACTTACCTTTTTTTTTAACTCAATGTTATTTACCTAAAATTTGTCAATGTGGTATCAGTTAGCTGTACTTTGATCCTTTTCACAGAGTCCATTTGTATAAATAGACCACAATTTATTTATACATTCTCCCATTGAGGAGCATTTGGGTTATTTCCAGTTTTTGCTGTTACAAGCAATGATGCTATAAACATTCTTGAACTTGCTAATGGGTGCACATGTGCAAGAATTTCCCTGGGGTATTGCATGGTGGTAAAGCATGCTTAATTTTATGAGATAATGTCAAATTATTTTCCAAAGTGCTTATACCCATTTACACTCTTCAGTCATGTTTTAAGAGTCCTTCTTGCTCCACATACTCACCAACAATAGATATTGTCAGGCTTTCTAGTGTTTGCTAAGTTAGTGGGAGTAAAATGATATCTCCTTTGGTTACAATTTGTATTTGTACATTATTATTGTTACTATAAGTCATATCCAGACAATATTTGTTTGCATTTACCTCAGTTTAACCCTCATGTTTACTGGGTATTTCTGAAACTGGCCCAATATCCCCATATAACTGATGCTTATAGTCTTTGGATAGACATAGAAATTGACCCTCTTGGTCTTTAAGCTTGAAATTTACATTTGTCTTATCTGAGTTCCTTTCTCAGGAAACTGATCCTCAGGCCTCCTAGACAGTATCAAGGAAATGAAACTTACCAGATCACCACATCCATACAATAAGACACCAGACCCCTCATCTGTCATGATTGCTTCCTTCCTTCTCCCTAATTCCTGTTTTCCTACACATAGTTACATTTCTTCCCTGCTATATAAATCCCTAATTTTAGTCAGTTGAGAAGACAGATTTAAGACTTACCTCCCCTTCTCCTTGGCTACAGCACCTTGATGAAGCTTTCTTCCCTGGCAGTGTTTGTTGTCTCAGTGATTGGCTTTCTGTGCAGTGAGCAACAGGACCCAGACCGAACCCCTAGCATTTCAGTAACATTTCTGTTCCTCATTTTTGCTTATATTGCTGAACTTCCTAATGGGATAATTATTCTTCTTCCCGAATTACATCCTTTAGAACTTCATTTAATTAAGAATCATTGGTTGTAAATTATCTCATTCTTTGCTACTCTAAAGATGTCTTTATTTAGCCCCTTTTCCTGGGAAAGTACTTTTCCTGGAACACAGTATGTTAATCAGTTGGAAGATATTATTCTGTTGTTGTCTAGTTTCCCTTGTCAAGGAGTCTCCTGTCAGCCAACTTGTTTTTATTTTGTAGGTGATCTTTTTCTCTGGCTATTTTTAAGATCTTCTTTTCGCCTTCAGTATTTTGTTCTATTATAAAAAAATGTGCCTAGGTGTGGAATTTTAGTTTGCTTAGTATATGTTGGTCTTCCTATAGCTGTGGATTCATTGCTGTCATCTTATTTGGAAAATTATAATCCATGATATGTCAAATATTATCTCTCCTCTACTTGTTCATTTTATCCTTTGTATTGCTTAACTTCTCTGCCATACTTTTTATCTCCCTATGCCCTTATCTAGCACTAACAATAATTTATCCTACTTTTTTTGATAGCTCACCAATTTTCTTGTCAGCTATTTCAAATCTGTTGTTTAATCAATCCTTTGTGTTATTAATATCTAGGTTATGGCTGGGTGTGGTGGCTCATACCTGTAATCCCAGCACTTTGAGAGGCCAAGGCAGGCGGATCACTTGAGCCCAGGAGTTTGAACCTAGCCTGGGCAAGATGGCAAAACCTCATCTCTACAAAAAATAAAAAAAAAAAGTTAGCCAGGTGTGGTAGTGTGTGCCTGTGGTCCCAACTAGGAAGGCTAGGGTGGGAGGATCCCTTGAGCCCAAGAGTTCAAGGCAGCAGAGAGCTGTGATCACATCACTGCACTCCAGCCTGGGTGACAAAGTGAGACAGCTGTGATCACATCACTGCACTCCAGCCTGGGTGACAAAATGAGACCTCGTCTCTATTTTTTTTAATTACACAAATTATATATATATATATATATATTTATATATATATATATATATAATTATATATAGAGAGAGAGAGAGACAGAGAGAGAGGTTGTAATTTTTCATTTCTTCATTTTATTTCAAATCATAAAATGAATGCCATTTCTGATTTTCCAGGTCACTTTATAATCTCTTCCATGCATATTTTCTAAGTAAATTTTTTTATCTTTAAATTTTCTTTAAAATGCTAGGTATCTAATAATTACAATATCTGACATCTGTGGAGTATGGGTCTATATCTGTTTTTAGTTTCAGCTGACACTCAATATGTATTCATTTCCTAGTGATTTCTATACAAATTATGATCAAATTGGTAACTTAAGACAACACAAACTTATTATCATATAGTTTGGGGTCAGAAGTCCAAAAGCACTGAGCTAAAGTCAAGGATGATTCTTTTGGAGACTGTAGGAATGATGTTCCCTTGCCTTTTCTAGCTTCTAGGGGCTTCCATCATTCCGTGGCCTATGACCCCTTCCTTACATCATTCCATCCTCCAACCTCTTGCATCTTTCTTTCTTTCTTTCTCTTTCTTTCTTTCTTTCTTTCTTTCTTTCTTTCTTTCTTTCTTTCTTTCTTTCTTTCCTTTCTTTCTTTCTTTTTCTTTCTTTCTTTTCTCTTTCTTTCTTTTCTTTCTCTTTCTTTCTCTCTTTTTCTTTCTTTTCTCTTTCTTTCTTTTTCTTTCTTTCTTTTCTTTCTTTCTCTTTCTTTCTCTTTCTTTCTTCCTTTCTTCCTTTTTCTTTCTTTCCTTTTGTAAAATGAAATGAGGTCTTGCTATGTTGCCTAGGTTGGTCTTGAACTCCTGAGCTCCCACCTCAGTCTCCCAAAGTGCTGGGATTACAGGCACTAGCCACCACACCCAGCCAACATCCTCTGCTTCTGTAGTCACACTTTCCTCTGCCTTCCTCTTGTAAGGACACTTACACAAGTGTGATAATACAGAATAATCTCTTCACTGCAAGATCCTTAATCACATCTGCAAGGTCCTTTTTGCCATGTAAGGTGATACTAACAGTGCAATGTTGACAGGTTCCCTTACCAGGTTACTTAAAAGTATATGCCCGCTGCCTGAACCCTGAAGGCCAGATAGTAAGCCATGGCCATGGTACCCAGCTGAGGAGCAGGTGTCCCTGAGAGCCTAAACATCCCAGGGAGTATGTGAGAACCTACCAAAGAAAAGAGTACCATCACATAAACACAGCAGGCAAAGGGCCCGAAAATTAGCTTAAAAACAGCTTAGAGAAGGGAGGTGGTACAGATCTCTAGAGCTGTGCTGCTGCCACTCAGGAGTGCCCTGACCAATATGTCTCAATAAACTCATCTACTTGACAAGCGGGACTTCTCTAAATCATTCTTTGGTCTTTCGGCACCTTCCCAACTTGGGAGGGAAGGGGATGTTACAGTCTCAAGTTTTTCTCTTAATACACAGGATCCAGGGCTTAGGACTGAAATATTTGGGGGTGCCATTTTTTAGCTCATTACATACTCACTGTGTCAGAGACTCAGTTGACAACAAGTATCCATTCCCCAACTCCCTTGCTAGTAATGAAAACACTAATTTTTAGTCAAGTTTGTTGTTGGCCAGTTAAAACTCCCTAGTTTTTGTTCACATCAAGACGTGATCATTGTGGTTAAATTTTTGACAATAAATTTTAAGTGGCAGTACTGTGTGCAACCTTCAGAATGTATTTTTTTTAAATAGGCATGCCCTTCATCCTTTTCCTTTCACAACCGGCCTGGAATGTGAGCATCTGGAGCTCTGGCTGCCATCTTGGGTCACAAGAACAAGAAGCATAACATAGATTTGGGAGGATCCATGAACTGTAAAGAAACAGGTCCCTGATGAATTTTTGATGAATCTGTCCTGGACACCTACCTCATGACGTCTTTTAGATAAAAACAAATAAACTGTGTGTGTCTAAGCCACCATTATTTGTTCTGCTGTGTGAGGCTAAACTTAGTCCTAACTCATACCATCATTATGTCTTTTGTTTCTTTGTATATTGGGGGATTTTTTCATTGTAATTATCCATTTGGTTTCACATAATCTATAGGAATCCTGAAAACCTGAATTAATGACACCTTCCTCCAAAAGGGATTTGAATGTATGTATTTCTGGAATTACATATGCTAACAACAGGGGACAGCGTTAGCCTTCTTAATTAGGGCACAGGGCCTGGCAGCAGCCTCAGAGCTTAGCTTTCAATCCCTCATTTGTGGCTGACATTGGCATTTCTCCTCCAAGTTTTGCAGTTTGTTTACCATGCAATGCTAGCTTTAGCTTACTATGCATGTTTGCATGTTGTTGTTCTATTTTGTTTTGTTGACATTGGAAAGTTCCCTTTGTTTCTTGTAAGAGCTCAATGTATTTTTAAAAACATGTTATAATCTGATTGTATTGTCATTGTAGTGGAATACGACTTCAGAGGCTTGTTCACCATTCACCCAGAAGCAGCACTGATGCCCCTCCCATGCCAGTTTCACCATTAAATGTGTTATGAAGGGTTTATGTCTGATTGACCCATCCAAGACTTTGATGCAAGCTTGGTACAAGCAGAGCTCTTCTGAAAACAAGCTTGTTAACACTTTCTGTATGTGGTAACAATTCACTCCTTTATTTGTATTGGGGATTCGGTTTGCACTCATTACTATTATTTTCTTTTAGAGTGTCTGGGACCTCTTTCAAATAACACGAGTTCATTCCTCTGCCTGCAAAGATTCCGACCCCTCCCCAGGGATGTGTGTAACAAAAGTCTACTAAGGGAAATATACTATTATTCTGCAACTTGCTTTTTTAATTAATAATATGTCATTTGGCCTTTCAGTACCTACAATCACCTCACTCTTCCTTCATAGCTGAATAGTATTCCGTGGTACGTACCACAATTTATTAAACAATTTTACCATTGATAGGCCCTTAGGTCGTTTCCAATATTTTGATATTATTAATACTGCTGTGCTATAATAAGCATATATATACTTGTATATGTGCATATTTGTGAGTAAATTTATAGAAAGGCTCTGTAGAAGATAAACTTATTGGTTCAAGGGGTATGAATATTTAACGTTTTGATGGATGTTGCCAATTTGTCTCCCGCAAAAGCCATGCTAATGTAATGTGTTTGTGACAGAGACTACTAATGCCAACTTAATATTAATTTTCCCGAATTCTATACTGAAAGAATCCCTGTTTTGTTTCAGAGTGGTGGTGTGCCTGGCCAAAGGCAACATCTCACAGCCTCACTCTGAGCTAAGTGTGGTCACAGGACTAACTTCTGTCCGCTGAACTATGAATGAAAGTGTGTGGGGCATGCTGAAGTGCCACTTACTGGAAGATGTGCCACTTTCCGCCCTTCTACCTTTATTCCTTCTTCAAACCTTCTCAGTGGTTTGATGGCAAAGTCCTTGCAGTCATCATGAATCATGTAATCATATTGAGGATAGGGGTAGCGGAGAAGAAAGAATGGAGGCTGAATCATGGAGAGCCACCATGCAACTTTAGACTACCTACAGCTTGACTTTCATTATATGAGAGAATTAACCCATTATCTTCCACGTCTTTGCTACGTGCAGGTAAATGCTATTCCTAAATCACACAGCGCCCCTTTCAATCACGTAAACAATACACCAGTCCCACTGAGTACTTGCTGTGGTCCCCATCATGTGCTGTGGACTGTCACCGCAGTGTCCTTGCCCACTACCACAGTGGCTGTCCTTTCTACATGGGTCAGTGCAACCAGGTAGGTGGCCTTGTACATTGACTCCTCATCCTTTCTTTCCCAACTGGTGACCTCAGTCCACAGGACTAGTAGAACAAACTTTAAATTTTCATTTTTGGCTCAGATCATCTAGGAAAATCAGTCTACACAAATACACGAACACACACACACAGAGACACACACACACACACACCCAGTACATACAGAGAACCAAATGACTTTTCAGAATCCACAAATCTTCCCATACTTGAAGCAATCCTTACTTCAGTCTGAAGAGTTTTCCAAAATAACCCTTCAGCCCCTTTTAAGAGAAGGCCTATCTAATGAAAAATGTAACCGTTGTATGGAATAAAAAATTGCAGACTTAATAATTCAAAACTGCTACTAAATCAATGTACTGCTTGTTGGTTTGTCAATACAGCTTTCTCAATTAGACAATTTTATTACAGTGATGAATACCAATGGCATAATTGAGAGACTGCTGTTCTAAATTATGGTCTGTTTAGCCTAACAATCCATATTTGCTACTGAATAAATGTGATGACTATAGCCTTCTGAAGATGAATGGTCCTCTACTGGCAGCTGACCTGTCCCTGGTGACGACTGGGCAGGAATGATTCTCATCATATTCCTTCATGGGATCCTTCTGGCTGACCATTGTAATGGCACTTCGCCTCCCTTCCCAGTGCCCTCTCCTACACCAGGAACACCTACCCTGCTGGTGATGGGTGTTGTAGATAGTGCCTTTCAAGTAAGTTCCGAGTTCCACACCAAATCCCACTTTTCCTGGTAAATAAAAACAGCACGAGGTGAGGCACATGGGCTTTTTTCCCCAGCACTTAGGGAGATCAAGGCAGGAGGATCGCTTGAGGCCAGGAGTAATAGAGCCTGGGCCGGGTGCGGTGGCTAACATCTGTAATTCCAGCACTTTGGCAGGCCGAGATGGGTGGATCACCTGGGGTCAGGGGTTCAAGACTAGGCTGGCTAACATGGCAAAACCCGTCTCTACTAAAAATACAAAAATTAGTCAGGTGTGGTGATGCGTGCCTGTAGTCCCAGCTACTTGGGAGGCTGAGGCAGGAGAATCGCTTGAACCTGAGAGGAGGAGGTTGCAGTGAACCAAGATTGCACCATTGTATTCCAGCCTGGGTAACAGAGTGAGGCTCTGTCTCAAAAAGAAAAAACAAAAAACAAAAAAAACAGAACCTGGTTTCCTTATCAGCAGAATGAGGATAATAATCTCTACTTTCTAGAGTTGTAATAATTACATTATAAGTGTATGTACGTTCCTCTGACACATAGCGGATACTCAGAAAAGGTTACTTGACTTTGAATCTATCAAACATATGGATACAGCAAGCCCTATTCCTCAAGGAAGAAGCAGGAGCCTCCACTTCTCCATGACAACATTGTGTTATTGCTTTCCTCCTCACCCTTATCAGAAGTACCTGCTTTGGGGCCCACGAATGTCAGTGGGCAGCATTTTTGCTTCTTCCCTGACTTTGTTGTAGTCTCTTAGCTTCCAAGTCTTCCATGTTCAATGCCAAAATGGGCTCACCTGCATTTAAGCGAATGACAAAGCACCAGAAGGCAGACAATTTGACTTCTTTCCTTTTTTTATGCCCCCAAGGCATGGGCAGGCAAGGTCCGAGTTGTCTCTGGTTGCCCTCCCTACCCACCCTTCCTGACACACTTCTGGGCCTCTCCTTGGAACCTCCACAGAGGACAATTCAATTTAGCTCATAAAGGTGGGGCAGGGCAACCAATTCATCTTGCTTTTCCTGGGAATTTCTGTTTTTCATACTAAAAGGCCAGCAGCATCCCAGGACAGATGGTCACCCGAGGTGGGGGGCACCACGGGCATGTGGATCTGAACGGTTTCTTTTGGGGGGCTTTGCCTATTGGGTGTTGAGCAGGCCTTGTGAATCAGTGCCTGACCCTCTGGGTTTCCACTGCCTTCCGTCTTGACTTCAGAGACTCCTCCCTAAGGACCAGCACCAGGGTCACCGCCTGTGGTCTCACTAGGCCTTGTAAATAACAGTCCAGCCAGAGGGAGCAGCGCTTCTCAGCGTGCCCTTTCCTCACGGCAGATTGGCCGTTAGATGTGAGCTGCACTACTTAACAATCCCCATTTTCCCCTCACTTTCCCAGGTTGCTCATAACAGAACCATGAGGAGAGGGAGGTCCTGGGGCCCCAAACTGAAGCCTGGTCTCCCTGCTGGTAACTAATGAGAGCCTCCGAGGGCTGAGGCCCGCATTTGTTACTGTGTTGACTCTTTTGTGAGGTATTTATCCTTTGGTAACATATGCCCTCATACATATATATATACACACACAATTTTTTTTAAGGTATAGTCTCGCTCTGTCTCCCAGGCTGGAGTGCAGAGGTGTGATCTCGGCTCACTGCAACCTCCACCTCCTGAGTTCAAGCAATTCTCCTGCCTCAGCCTCCTGAGTAGCTGGGACTACAGGCGTGCGCTAACACACCCGGCTAATTTTTGTATTTTTAGTAGAGACAGGGTTTCACCCTGTTAGCCAGACTGGTCTTGATCTCCTAACCTCATGATCCACCCACCTCTGCCTCCCAAAGTGCTGGGATTACAAGTATGAGCCACCACACCTGGCCTATGCCCTCATATTTAACATCAAATAGTTACTCAGTACCCACACTAGCTGCCCAGCATGGCACCATGGGGCATACTCCCCTGCCCTTGAGGAGTCCCTTGTCTGTGTTCCTACGTCCTCTTCAGGGTTCTGTGACATCCATCCTAGGCACTTTATTTCTCATACACTTGCTCTGGCTGGGCGCCATGGCTCATGACTGTAATCCCAACACTTTGGGAGGCCAAGGCAGGAGGATTGCTTGAGTCCAGGAGTTCAACACCAGCCTGGGCAACATAGGGAGATCCTGTCTATACAAAAAATAAAAAATTAGCTGTGCATGGTGGCGCATGTCTGTAGTGCCAGCTACTCAGGAGGCTGAGGTGGAAGGATTGCTTCAGCCTAAGAGGTGTTGCAGTGAGCCATGTTTGCACCACTGCACTCCAGCCTGGGCGACAGAGTGAGACCCTGTCTCAAAAAACAAAATAAGGCCAGACGTGGTGACTCATGCCTGTAATCCCAACACTTTGGGAGGCTGAGGCGGGTGGATCACTTGAGGTCAGGAGTTCGAGACCAGCCTGGCCAACATGGTGAAATCCCATCTCTACTAAAAATACGGGGGGGGGGGGGGCGGAAATAGCTGCATGTAGTGGCATGCACCTGTAGTCCCAGCTACTCGGGAGGCTGAGGCAGGATAATTGCTTGAAGCCGGGAGGCAGAGGTTGCAGTGAGTGGAGATCGAGTCACTGCACTCCAGCCTGTGTGACAGAGCAAGACTCCATCTCAAAAAACAAAACAAAATAAACACATACATGTACTTGCTCTAAGTGTTCTTTCTTGTCTGATCAGGCTAGTCTCCTCTTAACAATGGCTCTTGAGATTTGCAGGAGGCTCTGTCTCTTCAGAGAGCCTATGCAGACCTTACCCTGTTTGATTGGCAGACTCTCTATCGCTCATTTTTCAGGTTACAGGTAGAGGCCTGCAAAGGTTGAATGACTTGTCCAAAGATCTAGAGCTCATGAAGAGCTGGGCTGGGACTGAGTCCTCCAAAGGCATCTGCTGTTCTTGCCTGCCCAGTGTCAGTTCCCCTTCTCATGGTGGCAGCCTGACTTTGCTGTGGGAACTACCTCAATACCCTCTCTGTTGTTTGAAATTTGTGGGCTGATGATTGGGCCTGAATAATGAGAGCACCCATCCTCCCTGACAGTCACAATTAGCTCAAGGATGGGCTGGTGACCCAGCCAGGCCCATGAGCCTCAATCCCAAGGCCTTTGCAGGAACCGATGGAGGGAAAATTGTTCTCTGCCCACTGGGGTTGCTCAGCTGGGATGATATACACCCAGTCATTTTTGCCACCATGGAGGGAAAGCCTGCCTGAGAATACAGTCAACCTAGAGGAAAGAGATCCAAGACTCTAACAGACACTGCCCTGGAAGCATGATTTGAGCTTTTTGTGTTTCATTCAGCCATGCCAGAAGGTAATTTATCCCTGCACTTCATGGTTTCACACCTCCTCTTTTTGTATTAACTCAATGTGAGTTGGGTTCCTGTGTCTTGAAGCCAAAAAGTCATTACTGACACAATCACAGCCTCTTTCTCTGTGATCAGCGTCTCTCTTTCTCCCAACATGCCACATGCACTCCCATCATCAACATCTTCACTCCAAGTGATCTCCCCTGGCCTGTCCCACCATCCCTCCACCCCAGGCCAAGGCTTCTTCCCCCTCTGTCCAGCCTTCCTTAGCTTCCACGTCCTGCACTGCTCTGCCCCCTTCTTGATTTCTGTATATGTTGGAACCACACAATTTAACACTTAATGCCACAGTTGTTGGCTCTTGTTTCCATATGTTGCTCTTGTCTCTTTGATTAAGTTTTAAGTTCTTCAAAATCAGAGATTGTGTCCCATCCTTCTACAGATCCTGAAGCAATGTTGGGAAATAGTAACTAAATTTGTGTTGAGCACATCCTGTGCACCAGACACAAGCCTAAGACCACTATGTGCACTAATCATTAAATCCTCACAACAAACCTGTGAGGTAAGTATGATCATTACCCCTATTTTACAGATGAGGAAATCAAGGCATAAAAAGGTTGAGGAACTTCCTCAACAGGCTAGGAAGTGGTAGAATTAGGATTTTAACTCAGGCATTCTGGGCTTCAGAGCCCAGACTTAATTATTACACTACACAGCTTCTTAATCCATCTTTGATAAATATCAATTGATTGAACATACAGAATTGCAGAGTTACACCAAACCTAAAGCAGTAGGTGGTAGCCTCTAGGGAGTCACTCTGATCATCTGAAAGGTTTTGTACCCTTCTAGAAATTGCATGTGCATACACACACACACACACACACACCACACACACACACACACGCACCCCTGACAGAAGGAAGAGTGGTAACTAGAAGCCCTGATTCTGGGGCTGCTTTGCTGTCTTCACCCCAACTTCAGTCCTTTGTCATGATTAGGTATTGGGAAGAGCATGAGAAAGGTGTTGTCTTCACTCTCCAAAAGCTTAACTTCAGAGTAAGGCTAGAAGCTGACCTGAGCAGCAAAGAAATTTGCTTTCAATGCCTCCTGCCTCCCTATTCTGTAGCATTCACAGGGCAGTAAGCATTCACCATGTCTGTCTGCCCAGCATCCACTTCCCTCACTCTCATGACAGTGCTTTGATTTCCCTTTGGGGGACCAGCATTCCCCCATTGCGTGCAATGATATTGGACAGTCAACCAAGTGTCCACCCTCCCCTGGCCAAGGAGTAAGTACATGACCCACAAGAGCCACCTGGCCTCTGCCCTGGGAATTTGAGCAGTACAAGGAGGAAATTCAGTTGGAGGTAATTCAAAGACGTAGAGCGTGAGTGCCCATCTGCCACACCGAACTCCTGAGTTTCTTTGCTTTCTTTCCTGTCCAAAACCTGATTCTTGAGCTTTCTCCTCAGTTCCACATGCTACCCGAGGTGGCTTTATAAATGCCAACCTGGCAGGGTTGAATTACATTTCCCAGAATTCGCTTTCCTGTATGTTTCCAGTTAGGGTGGGCCATGCAGAAGCTCCTGGTGTGAGATTTGCAGGGTGGAAGTGAAGCGGCAGCAGTTTTGGTAGCTTGCACACCTTGTCACTTTCCACTGGCTCACCGCGTCAGCTGGAGGCAGGGGCTGGGCCTGTAGCTGCTCTACCCTTCTCAGGATCCTCCTTCAGCTTTCCCGACTTCTGAGCCAGACAGGTCCGCTGAGCTCTGTGATGAAGGATCCTGACTCCTGCAGGAGACCCATGCCACCCAAATCAGAGGCACGGTTTCAGTCCCTCCTCATGGTCTCCAGCGGGTGGTTTCCAGCTTGTTCCTGTTCACCGCATCTCTCTGACCCAGCTGCCTGCCCTGCGGACTGCAAGTTCAGCATCAGACCCGAGGGCAAGAGCCTTACAGAGACTGCGTCAGCAGCTCCCACGGATGGGTAAGATCAAATCCTGGTAAGAAGTCCCTAGTGCTGATTCCTGTTACGCTGCTTCCTGGAAGGCAGTGCCATGTGGAACCTCTAAACTACAGCATTCGGAGCTCCAGGAAGGGAAAATTTCAAGTCAAATAGAATTCTATACACCATGTCTTTGGAACCTTCAGCCCTCAAGATTCCAACATCATGACCTCAGTTTCAACACAGTTGTCCTTAGTTCTCATGTCATGCCTTTGATGCTGCCTGTTGTCGAAGCAGTAGAAGCCAACGATGCAATCACTCTCTTGATAGGTGTGGTTCTCAGCATTACAGGCATCTATGCTTGCTTGAAGGTATATGCAGAAAAGAGATATGGACAGATGTGACTTTGAAGGGCTTACTGAATCAAACCTCACCCTGAAAACCTTTGTGCTATTGAGGCTAAACCTGAGCTTTGGTGTCTGACAGTTTCCAAGAATCAGTAAATAAGGGAGTTTTACATTCTTCATTGTTTCCATGAAATGGGAACAAACAGATACATATATAAAAATTAAAAAAAAATTTTCTTTACAACAAATAATGTGCAGAAAAAATGCAGCCTATAATTTGTATTTGCTGTTTAGAAAGGAAGCCAAAGAAGTAAGATGGCTGAAATTGACACAAGTAATATTTCATAGTTTTAGACTTCTCAAAGCATGTGAAATAGGAAGAAGGAAGTTCTTGCCCAGAATCTTAGGAAACCATCACTGTTCAGTTATAATCGCTGCCTCCTGATTCGTTGAGGAGTCTTTTCTCCATATTTTTATTAGATTTTTGTTTTGTTGTCTTTCGAGGTAATATTGTATTTAGATATCAGATAGTCAGCCAAAAAGGGAAACTTCTATCTCTGGGGAAAAAAATGTTTAGAAAAATGTATTTAAGGGCTATGCACGGTGGCTCACGCCTGTAATCCCAGCACTTTGGGAAGCTGAGGCGGGCAGATCACGAGGTCACGAGATTGAGATCATCCTGGTTAACACGATGAAACCCCGTCTCTACTAAAAACACACACACACACAAAAATTAGCCGAGCGTGGTGGCAGGCGCCTGTAGTACCAGCTACACAGAAGGCTGAGGGAGGAGAATGGCTTGAACCTGGGAGGCGGAGGTTGCAGTGAGCCGGGATCGTGCCACTGCACTCCAGCCTGGGTAACAGAGCGAGACTCCGTCCCAAAAAAAAAAAAGAAAAATGTATTCAGTGTATCTAATATTGAAATGAAATGCAGAAAAGATTTAATATTAAAAAAAAAAAAAAAACACTATAGGCTGGGCACAGTGGCTCATGCCTGTAATCCCGGCACTTTGGGAAGCCAAG